TTCTACAACTTATTGAATAGAAATCCGGTCACGTATAGTGTCAGACCGCTGTTATTAAATTGAACGACTAGACTAGCGCGAATGATATATCCCGGGAGCTTCTTTATGCAGCCGAATAAAGAACGTCGCGTACCGAGACTTTTCTTAGCGGATCAACTCCTTCGTAAAATGTCTCTCACTGTTTCAGTTTTGACTTTATAAGTTTCTTTAAAAATCTATACTGTTACTTCTATAAGTAAAATAAGTGATAAAAAACGAGGACATAGAATGGCAATAACAAATTCGAATAGTGCTAGGTTACATACCATATTTCTAACATCAAGAATTATTTGACGCCAGTACACGACTAACAATAATTAAGCTTTCAATCGACCATAACTGGCAACGTGTTTTTAACACAGAAAATTTATTGCGAAAACTATTACCTCAGCCAATACACTCTAGGCGGGCGTCTCACCAATTCGACCACTGAGGCATATAAATATGCCTCGGTAGGGAGGTCCAGGTTCAAATCCTGGCTGAAGTAATATTTTTCGCAATAAATTTTCTGTGTTAAAAACACGTTGCCAGTTATGGTCGATTAAAAGCTCAATTATTGTTATGTACCTTTAAGTTGAAAGAATCCTTAATGAGAGAAAGAGAGATGTAAAAATCATACAAGTTTGCATATCACGTATTCATACTTAAATAGACGACAGCTTCCGTGAATGTTCTGTGAACATATTCTTGGTCTTTTCTTTTCTTTTTTTTGTGAAGATCCCCCTTTTCAACACTTCATTTTTCATGCATTCGCACGCACTGACGCGACGCTGCGACGACGCTAAGTGTCCTTTGAACGCAATGAAATGACGATAATTCGTTGCGCTATGAAAATCGAGTTTCGAGGAAGTAACTTCTTTTTAATGACGTGTCTGTGACTAATGTTCTTGCGTTCGCTTAAGGTTAATTCGATTCATAGTTAAAGTATATTATTCATTCCTAAGAAGGTTTATGTGATTTTTCGAGTTACTCCTTCTCTCTCGGACTTGCATATTTCTTGAAAGAAAATCAGTACATCTTGGCACGACGATTTGGTCATTTGACAATGCTACGATTTCTCTGAATAGCATTGTAATTATCGCAAATGAAATGACCATGTCGTTGCAGTTCTGGAGTTTTCGGTAGCTGATTATAAAGTTTGCGTTAGCACCGTAATTGCGGCGTCGTAACAAGTCTGATGAAGTATATGGGAGGCAAAACAAATACGTGCACACATGGAAGTTACAATGCCCGTAACTAATTACGGGTAGGAAATTAATCCTTTAAAAGCTTCTGCTCCTTTTAGAGCTTGTTACGTCTTTGCGTAATCTTCTTACGGAGTTTCAATAATAATAACACGTTGAACTTGTAGAGAAATCGTCGTTTGTACTCGCTTATGCTTTGCGTAAAAATCTTTTACGCTATACTATCGCAAATTATAATATTTATTATAATTATAATTACGTATGCCAATAAAAGCCACATAGATGTTAGTTACTTAGTACGTACGAGTTGTAAATTATTATAATTAGTTACTTAATAACATAATTAACTAGCAATTATACGGTTAAATATTGTGGTTATTCGGGTAATTATTGTAGTTAACAAATATTTTATGTATTACATCTGTAGTTATTATGATAATGAGATGGTTATTAATTAAGCTTTAAATTTGTGCAAAACAGTGCCGCACATCCATTTTAGAGATTTTTGTTTTATCGAATACTTTGTAATTACATTAATTTCTCGCGCGTTCTTCTCTTTTTATATCAGAATTGAGTTCTATTTAAATAATTTGAATCGAGCATTATATTAATTGAACCTTTCATTATATGTATATTTTTCGACATTATTTAGAATGCAGGACAAATAAAAAATATTGTATAAATTAAATTATTCTCTCTCTCTCTCTCTCTCTCTCTCTCTCTCTCTCTCTCTCTCTCTCTCTCTCTCT